CACGAAGGGCAGCGAAGGGGCCACGAAGGGCAGCGAGAGGGCCACGAAGGGCGACAACGGGGCTACGAAGGGCATGCGTATGGTTGCGAAAAAGTCCAAAGCGAGAGCGCGATTCCCGAATAAACTGTCAGGACGTATCAGGCGGGAGCCGCGATTCGATGGTAAATCGCAAGGAATTCCCAAGCGAGAGCGCGATTCTTCAATAAATTGTAACGAAATATCAGTCGGGAGCCGTTGTTGGCCCAGGCCACGACGGGCGCGAACGAGCGGGAACCCGAAGGGCGTGCGTCTTGGGGGCCGCAGAGGTCAGCGACGGAGCCGCTGAGGGCAGAAACGGGGCCACGAAGGGCGGAAAGGGGGCCACGAAGAGCGACAGCGTGGCCGCGAAGGGCATGCGTATGGGGCCACGACGGGCGCGAACGAGCGCGGGCCACGAAGGGCATACATATACGAGGCCAGACAGGGCGACAGCGGGGCCACTGAGCGCAGAAAGTGGGCCACGAAGGGCAGCGAGGGGGCCACGAAGGGCGACAGCGGGGCGACGAAACGCATGCGTATGGGACCACGAAGGGCGCGAGCGAGCGGGGGCCACGAAGGGCAATTAATCCGGGGCCACAGAGGGCAGCGACGAGGCCGCTGCGGGCAGAAACGGGGCCACGAAGGGCATGCACATGGGGCCACGAAGGGCGACAACGGGACCACGAAGGGCATGCATATGGGGCCACGACGGGTGCGAACGAGCGGGGGCCACGAAGGGCATTCGTATATGGGGCCACAAAGGCGACAGCGGCGCCACGGAGGGCAGCAAAGGGGCCACGAAGGGCAGCGAGGGAGCCACGAAGGGCGACAGCGGGGCTACGAAGGGCATGCGTATGGGGCCACGAATGGCGACTGCGAGCGGGGGCCACGAAGGGCATTTAATCCGGGGCCACAGAGGGCAGCGACGGGGCCGCTGAGGGCAGCACCAGGGCCACGAAGGGCAATGAAGGGGCCACCAAGGGCAACAGCGGGGACACGAAACGCATGCATGTGGGGCCACGACGGGCGCGAACGAGCGGGGGCCACGAAGGGCATTCGTATATGGGGCCACAAAGGGCGACAGCGGGGCCACGGAGGGCAGCAAAGGGGCCACGAAGGGCAGCGAGATGGCCACGAAGGGCGACAACGGGGCTACGAAGGGCATGCGTATGGTTGCGAGAAAATCCAAAGCGAGAGCGCGATTCCCCAATAAACTGTGAGGACGTATCAGGCGGGAGCCGCGGTTCAGTGGAAAATTGCAAGGAAGTCCCAAGCGAGAGCGCGATTCTTCAATAAATTGTAAGGAAATATCAGTCGGGAGCCGTTGTTGGCGCGGGCCACGAAGGGCGCGAACGAGCGGGGGCCCCAAAGGGCATAGGTATAGGGGGACGCAGAGGGCAGCGACAGAGCCGCTGAGGGCAGAAACGAAGCCAAGAAGGGCAGAAAGGGGGCCACGAAGAGCGACAGCGGGGCCGCGAAGGGCATGCGTATGGGGCCACGATGGGCGCGAACGAGCGGGGGCCACGAAGGGCATACATCAGCAGGGCCACTGAGCGCAGAAAGTGGGCCACGAAGGGCAGCGAAGGGGCCACGAATGGCGACAGCGGGGCGACGAAACGCATGCGTACGGGACCACGAAGGGCGCGAGAGAGCGGGGGCCACGAAGGGCAATTAATCCGGGGCCACAGAGGGCAGCGACGGGGCCGCTGAGGGCAGAAACGGGGCCACGAAGGGCAGAGAGGGGGCCACGAAGGGCGACAGCGGGGCCACGAAGGGCATGCATATGGGGCCACGATGGGCGCGAACGAGCGGGGGCCACGAACGCATTCGTATATGGGGCCACAAAGGGCAACAGCGGGGCCACGGAGGGCAGCGAAGGGGCCACGAAGGGCAGCGAAAGAGCCACGAAGGGCGACAGCGGGGCTACGAAGGGCAGGCGTATGGGGCCACGACGGGCGACTGCGAGCGGGGGCCACGAAGGGCATGTAATGCGGGGCCACAGTAGGCAGCGATGGGGCCACTGAGGGCAGCAACGGGGCCACGAAGGGCAGCGAGCGAAGGCGACTGCGGAACCAATACGGGCAGCGAGGGGCGTCGAAAGCGAGCGAAGGGCGGCGAGCGGCGACTGCAGTCCCTAACGGGCTGGTCGGGCGGGCAGGCCCAGACGGGCGGGTCGAGCGGGCGGGTCGTTGAAGCGTAAATTTTGCTAGAACCGCCAGGCAATATGTAGCGGGAACGCGATTCCTGAGTGTCGAAGAGCGGCATCTGAATAAATTGTAAGGAAGTGTCAAGCGGGAGCCGCGATTCGGTGATAATTTGCGATGAAGTCCTAAGCGAGAGCGCGATTCTTCAATAAATTGTAAGGAAATATCAAGCGGGAGCCTCGATTCGGCGGTAAATTGGAAGGAAGTCCAGTTTGACCCTCAAGACTTTCCCTGATAAAAACACGGTACGAGGCCCGGGAAATGCACTTCAATCGAAAAAACCCATGTGCACCGGACGGGGGGATCAACAGTAATGATTTTTTGTCAGAAATGAGGGTTCAATCATTTTAAGACTGGTCGCCCTTATCTGCTCGAGTGTCCAATAAAGCGTATTTCTCAAACCCTCGATACCCGCCCCCTTCGTCTTCGATCGAACCCTTTTTGGAGGGTATACCTTTCTTCCCTACAAGCCGGGCCCCGGCAAACGGCGGGGCGGCCGCGGACCCTCGGCCCAGCCAGCGGCAGCACTGATCGGCGAGGCGGCCGCGGACCGTCGACCCGACCCCAAGAGGGACGGACAGGGGACCGACGACGACGACGACGACGACGACGTCGACGACGACGGCGACGACGACGAGCAAAAGCAAGAGCGAGAGAGAACGACAGCAGGGCCACGAAGGACACGAAGTAGGCCACGAAGGGCGACAGCGGGGACACCAAGGGAATGCGTATGGGGCCACGAAGAGCGCGAACGAGCGGGGGCCACGAAGGGCAGATAATGCGGGGCCACAGAAGGCAACGATGGGGCCACTGAGGCTAGCAACTGGGCCACGTAAGACAGCGAGGGGGCCACAAACGGCGACAGCGGGGCCACGAAGGGCATGCACATGGGGCCAC